TGTGTTCGTTATGTTGAGAGCACATTTATCAGAGTATAGCATACACGTATCGTCAGCATATAACGCCAGAGTCGAGGGACCTAACATTGGAATATCAGAAGTATAAATGTTGTAGAGAGTGGGGGAAAGTGGCGATCCCTGAGGAACCCCTGCTTCTATAGATCGGACTGACGAGAGAACGCTGTTGATGTTTGTGCGAAAGGACCTCCCACGTAGGAAGCTGCCGATGATCTTAGTTAGTCTGCCTGGAACACCTAGATGAGACATTTTAACTATCAGACCATCATGCCAGACCTTGTCAAAAGCTTTAGAAATATCAAAAATGATCATTCCAGTTGACTCTCTTCTACTAAGGGCTGTTTGGATCATTTGAGTCGTTCTAGCCAGTTGAAGCTCCATGGACAGGTCATTCCTAAAGCCAAATTGTTCGTCAGGGAGTATATTGCGTGAAGCCACTACATCATTTAATCTGCTAAGAATTACCCTTTCGGCAAGTTTTCCTATGGTTGATAGCAGGCTTATGGGGCGCCAGTTCTGCGGGAATTGTGGGTTCTTATCCGGTTTTGGGAAGACAATGACTGTGGCCAGCTTCCAGAACTTAGGAAATTTACCTAGCTTGAGCATGCAATTAATTATGTTAGTGATTGTAACGATTAAAATTTGTGGCAATTTAAGTGTTACAACATCGTGGGTTCCGTAGCCCAACAACAATTGGTTCCAACAAAGCAATAACCTTTCGCTATACAGCATCACCATACGCTACACCAAACCGCAACAGCCCACCCCGCATCAACAGAACGTGTACGATTGGCAAAGTCTGAAAATACATAAAATTAAATTTGGTGTTATACAAGAATATTATACATACCGTGAAACACCCTTGTGAATATTTATTTTAATTAATTTAATTCGAATAATATTAATTAAAATAAATTTAAATTACTTTTCGCGAACCACATGAACCACATTGTAAAAATAGAAATAATCAAAACAAAATTAGAGAAAATAAGAAATGTCATTGTCATGTGCTTTGTACATTTTCGGTTGATCGTAAAAATGTTGCAGCGGATAATAAAAGGGAAAAAAGCTGTGAGTGCAGTTTAAAGCTTTCAGAAGCCTGAAAAGAAACCAACAGAATACCTGATGAGGGGAAATGTTGAGGGCATTGACCGAACAACGGCTAGCATAAAAGTCCACTCGACGCAGTTAGAAAAAAGGAGAATAAAAGGCGCAAGCGGAGGAGTTTCTGTCTCTTGGCTCGTGGTTATGTTGAACGCAACGCATCGTACCGGTGGTGTTAATTACTTAGTTTTTTTTTTAAATAAATAAAAAAAAAAAAAGTTTTCTTTGCATTTTTTATATAACAATTAAAACTACTTTAATATTAATTTAACCAGTGGAAATAAAATTCTTAAAATTGTGTAATTTTCTTTTTATAATATATAAAGAAACAAAAAAAAAATTGAAATAGTTTTGTCGACACGGCGCGAAACGGGATAATAGTGTTAATAGCCACAGTATAAAAGAAATAATTGACGGCTTTAACAGTGGTCAATTAAAAGATTTTGTACTCGTGCTCGTTCGAACGTATAAACGTGTTGACACCACAAGCAAAAGACGTGGTGCGGCTTGGGTGTCTCTTTTTCTCCGATACGTGGCAAAGCTTGAATTGATTGGTGTTTCCTGATAATCATCGCTGGACATTGTAAGCAGTCCTGATGTACCAGAGAGGGTAAGACTTATATATGTATAAAATACAGTGCAGATTTTCGCGTAAGTAACTTCAATGTATAAGCGCGAATTTATAAGCTATTTTATTTAAATCGGACGAATTGCTAAAAAATTAACAAATTCCAAATTGTATAATTGAATATCTACAAATTTTATTCATTTAACTGGAAATGAGAAAAGTAACAACAAGGCAATCATAATCGTAAAGGCTTCAAGTTAAGCGCATAGGAGCATAAACTTTCTAAACACAACAAGCTTATGAATTATTAGATCTTATGAAATAGAATCTATGAAAAAAAAATGTATCTTTGTAAAAATTGAAATTAAACAACTGAAAACAAGATATTTGTGAAAAAAAATGTATTCTGTTATATGCAAACATAATCTTAATTAATTATAAAGTGTAACATTAAAAATTTAATTACTTAATCCACATTTAAGGAATGTAAAAATATTACATAAAATTCTAAGTGAAATACCAAAGTAATCTTCACACGACTACGCTTAATGGAAATTCTTCTTCCCTTATATTTTTATTTAAAAACATTTTATGAGTTTTTTTATAAATTTTGTTGTATTTAAGTGAACACAAAAATGCATTTATAAAACGTTAAACTTAAAATATGATTAATTAATATTATTTTTTTTTAAAAATTGAAATCAGTTAAATATTATTTGCTTATTATTATCTACGAGTAATTGTAAAGATATTATTTGATAAATTGTTTTTTTATTTAAAATACATTTATGGTTATACATATATTACAAATTGTTCAATAAAATTGAAATCAGTTAAATATTATTTGCTTATTATTATCCACGAGTAATTGTAAGGATATTATTTGATAAATTGTTTTTTTATTTAAAATACATTTATTACAAATTGTTCAATAAAGAAAAAAAAAAAAACTTGAATTCTAAAACAATTACTTTGTTGTACGGCATCTTACTTCAACGGTAGAAACGACAGTAGTTGAACGCTGGGTCCCCGCGAATAGAAATTTTCTTGTAAGACCTTGGACTAGGCTGAGAACTACCCCGGCTAGGAAAAATTAGGTTCATTACATGATAAACTGGATTACATTCTCCGGCAGGTTACGTAGGCATCTGTTGTTAATTATATCATGACCAGGTGCCGATCTTATTTTTAATCTTGCTATAATTTGGGTGATTTCTTCGACAGTGCATGGTGCAATGCTATCATTTGGCTCCTGATCCAGAATAATATTTGCCTCCTCGGAGATGCGTTGTTCTTCCTCTGAGTCATATTCTAAGTCTTCATTAGGCTGGAATTGAAGTTCAAGGGTGTCCGCGAAGGTCTCTGCTTTTTCTAAATCTGTATATACCAACCCTGTCACTCCATGGATAGGTGGTATTACTGGTTTACGCTTCAGCCTGAAGTACTTATTCATGGCCCAGAATTTTTTATCCCCTGTTTCAAGACCCATCAGAAATTCACCCCATTTAACATTTTTAAATGCATAGATCCTTTTCCTGATTTCATTTGAAAGACGATTGGCCTCTCTTCTGCTCTCTGGGTCACCCGTTATTTGAGCAAATTTCCGGACTCTATTTCGATTTCTAATCATGTTTTTAATATGCTGTGTTAAGTTAAAATAACTACATGGATTTCTATCTTTGAGGGTGGAGCAGCTATCCAAGGCCTGTTTTAATAGATGCGTCAGGTTCTGTATACAGTTATCCAATTCTTCTGAGGTTTCTGGATGGTTATTAATGCAGCTGGTGTTTACCAAGTTCTTAAAAGCATTCCAGTCAGTGGTAGAGAATGTAGGGGTCATAATATTCATGGGGCAGTTTTCAAGAATGAATAGAACAGGTTTATGATCGGAGTCCAGCTCATCTAAAACTTCCACAAGTACGGTATAATCTAGGTTGGACATTCCAAGATCTATTATATGGCCTGCTCCGCTGCCGTAGTGAGTTGGCTCGTTAGGCGTATGGAGTTGGAGCATATAGTCATTGACAAACTGGACAATTTCCCTTCCAGCCCAATTCGTACTCCTATCACCCCAATTTCTGTGATAACCATTCAAATCTCCAGCAAGGAATGTGGGTAAGTTGCTACTAATCAATGTTGCTAGGTCCCCCAGATAGGTTTTCACGTTTGGCGGTCTATAAACTGAGGTAAAAATGATATTACCGGTTGGGCATTCTACCTCCACCGAAGTAGATTCGAGAGCCTGTAGATTATCAATTAAATCAATAATAATCTTTATTCTTAGAATTTAACATATAAAAGCATGGCCAACTACTTAAAATTAATTATATAAACTGTTTTTAAAATAGTTATAACATCTCCCTCCTTTAAAAAAATAACATACACAATGTTCAACTTAAGAAGGTTGATAACGATTAGGCCTCACACGGACGCGAATGCTACGATGTGGTAACTCTTCCGTCGTCTGAGGACACCCTTCCATGTTCGAGCAATGCATGATAGCGTCATCCTCTTGCCCCACTACAGGTGATAATATACCACTCAGACGTGTCGCTCTTAGCGGAACTAGTCGACGAACGACACTTCATTTGATTTTGATGCCGTCTCGCATAATCGTTGGATGTTTTCACATAATAAACCATGTTTCCTAAATTTTTCTCAACCACAGCTTCAACCCATTTCGGACCACGACCATAATGTCTGACATATACCTTTTCATTTGTCAAAAATTTAGTTGAACACTTTACGGTTTTATCCTTGTTAACTGATGCTGATAGTAATGTAAGCAAAGTTCGTGGAGTTCGACCGTGTAGCAACTCTGCCGGTGACTTCCCTTCACCATTAGGAATCGCACGGTACGTAGCTAGATATTTTACTAAGGCCAAATTCAATGACAACCCATCATCAACATTTTTTTTAACAGATGTTTTGAATGTGCGGACAAACCTTTCAGCAAGACCATTTGATGCAGGATGAAATGGTGCTGTTTTAACATGATCAATACCATTTCGAACACAAAATTCAGCAAACTGATCAGATGTTAATTAAGGCCCATTGTCACTAACTATAGTTTCAGGTAATCCTTCAAGCGAAAAAATTGTTGATAACGCTGCAATAGCATCCATAGAGGTGGTACTCTTAAGTTGTACCACAAATGGAAACTGTGAAAAAGCATCAACAACTATTAGCCACATAGAATTGAACACTGGCCCAGCAAAATCTATATGAACTCGCTGCCATGTGGTTCCGGTTTTGGCCACTCGTGATATTGTTGATTCGGATTTGTACCCGTTATTTGACATATATTACATTATGCAGCAAGTTTCTCGATATCATCGTCTATCTGATGCCACCAGCAATGTTGTCTAGCAAGCTGCTTCATCTTAACGACGCCCCAATGGCCTTCATGAAGAAGTTTTAAGACGGACTGGTGCAACGAGTTAGGTACTACGACTTGAGTAACGTTCGACTGCAAATAAACTAAGTTATTTTGAATAATGAACGCATACTTACGACGAAAAAAAGGAAGCAAGTCCATATCACAACTGCTCAATTTCGACGGCCATCTTTCCAAAATGAAGGTTTTAACTCGGTTAAGTACGCGATCGTCTTTGTAATGCTGCTGTAGTAATTCGACATTGATAGGTGTATCGTAATTTTCTTGTTGATGACAACATTTAAACTTGTCGAACTCAGGATCTGGTCCACAAGACAAATGTGATAAGGCATCAGCATTTGAGTGATCTGCAGTTCTACGATACTGAATCTCAAATTGATATGACATCCATATTATAGCCCAACGTTGTAAACGATGTGTAGACATTAATGGCAAGTTTTTATCTGGGCTGAAAATGCTTACTAAAGGCTTATGATCCGTGACCAAAATAAATTGCCCAAATAAATACAGATGAAATCGTGTAACTCCAAAAATAATCGAAAGTGCTTTTTATTCGATTTGACTATAACGAACTTGATGAGTGTTAAGTGTGTTTGAAGCAAATGCAATAGGTCGTTCCGAACCATCCGGATGTCGATGAGCAATGACAGCTCCAATACCATAAGATGATGCATCAGTAGCAAGAACGATAGGCAAATGTTCTTGAAAATGTGACTACTCAGTTGCTTCTATTATGTGTCGCTTTAAAACTTCAAAAGCTTGCTCTTGATCGGTGCCCCAAACAAATTTGATATATTTTCTACGTAAGTGATTGATAGGCGCAGCCAATTGTGAAAAATTTGGAATGAAGTTATGATAGTAGTTTACTTTACCAACAAACGCTTCGACTTCTTTTACGTTTTTCGGCCGCGGTAACTGCTTTACAGCCTGAACACCCTTCTCATCAGGTAAAATACCACTTGCACTGATGGTTCTGCCTAAATATTCCAATTTTTTCACCAAGAACTCACATTTCGTTCGCCTGCAACGAATGCCATTTTCAGCTAAAAGTGATAATATTTCCTCCAGCCGCTTAAGATATGTGTCAACCGTTTCAGCAGAGATTATGATATCATCAATGTAATTTCCACACCCTTCTGTACTATGTATAAGTTATTCTAAATACTTCTGCAATAACGCAGGTGCGCTGGTAATACCAAGAGGTAGACACTGATACTGAAAAAGCCCCAGCGGTGTATTGACAACTAACACATTTTTTGCTTCATCGTCCAACTCCATTTGAAGATATACATCTTTCAAATCAATCTTAGAAAAAAATTTCCCATATCGAACCATATGAAATAAGCTCTCACGTTGTAAGGATGGAAATTTATACTAAATTTCCACCTACATAAACGTGCACTAAAAACAATAACAACACGAACTAAAACACATCAATACAACACAGTTTTTTTTTATAAAACGACACACTTTTTATATTTATATTTATATTTATTTACTCACTGGTAATAAATGTTGCAAATATCTGGAATTAATTAGATTAGATTAATAGATTAATTAATATTTAAAATATTTATTCAAAACAATTTACCAAAACCCAAACCGCTTGCAATCCTTAATAATACCTTAAACTAATCTGAAATGATATTGAAATGAAATATAAAAATATAATTAAATAAATGAATAATAAACACACCTTATTTATTGTTAATTATATTTCTTATTTTTATTTTTTAAATTTGATGAATATTTGCATATTATTTATCGTAACAAACAAAATAAATAAAAACCACTACCGACCGAATGTAGTTTTAAAACACGTTTTGTAAGAATCAAAACAAAGTAGCGTTAACATAAGAAAACAAGAACTGCCAAAAATATTTGCCGTAAGAGAAGCTCAAAGAGAAGTTAAATGTACAAGCTGAGTACCGCACAAAACATAAAATAGAAAATCAGAACGGCAAAATTAAACAAGAATTACGTGAGATCAGCTGTAAATAAAAATGATACGGTACACAAAAGCTCGGTCAAGTATGTATATAAGACGCGCATTTTACTTATGCGAACACTTTGGTTTATAATTTCAAAGGCACATACACCTTGGAAGACCAAGTCAACTAAGCTCTAGAGGCACAAAGGCATAATAACTATTAAGACACGACCGGTGGTTTCACGTCGACTGGGTTCAAAATAGTTGCTAAAAATTAAAATACATAGCGATATTTTATATGAAAGAAATATCGAAATCAAGGTATAATAACTATTAAGACACGACAGGTGGTTGCCAAAATTAAAATACATAAGGATATTTTATATGAAAGAAATATCTAAATCAAGGTATAATAACTATTAAGACACGACAGGTGGTTTCACGTCGACTGTGTCCATAATAGTTACTAAAATTAAAATACATAAGGATATTTTATATGAAAGAAATATCTAAATCAAGGCATAATAATTATTAAGGCACGACAGGTGGTATCACGTCGACTGTGTCCAAAATAATTTCAAAAATTTATATATTTATAAGGATATTTTATATAAAAAAGTATCCCTAGGAAGGAATAATTACGATGAAATATTGAGACACGACAGGTTGTATCACGTCGACTGTGTCGAAAGTAATTCTCTGTAAGACGCAAAGGAGACCGACTATAATGAAAATCTCCAAACGAAGGCATAGTTGTAGTAAAATACTTGAATACGACAGGTGGTCTCACGCCGACAGTATATAAAGTAATTCTACAAGATCCAGAATAATCCCACTAATAAATCCCGCACTTTTAGATAAAGTCAGAAGAATACAAAATCAGGGGCTTGAAGGAGGAAGATCTATCAAGGATATTCAAGCACTGAAACTTCTCAAAAGACATCTCTATTTAATTATTTAATTTTTACCCTTTCGAAACAAAAAATTCAAATTTTGTTTATATATACATAAATATTTACTTTATTTTCTTTAAAATAAAAAGTTAATTTGTTTTCCTATATTAAATATAAATTTAAAATTTATAAATTTCGAAATAAAGCATTACGTAAAAAAATTGAAATAAAACCACAGCACTTTGAATATTTTGGTTACAATCTATAAATTTATTGTGACGACGTTGGCGAGACTGAGCATACCTCAGCAAATAAGCAACGACTGGAAGAAAGGGTCGTTACAACGTGTCGTCAACCGATATTGATCAACATCGATTTGCTTGTTTACTGTAGTTTTGAAATCACCACAAATGCGAAGAGACCCATCTGGTTTTGTAACCAATTCAATTGGCGAAGCCCACTGACTAAATTTTACCGGTTTCTAAATGCCCCTATCCGTTAACCTTTGTGCTTCTGTTTTGAATTTTTCTAATTGTGCAAATGAAATCGGCCTACTTTTACAAAACTCAGGTACAGCGCCCTGTTTTAAATGCAACCTGTCCTAAACTTGCTTAATTGTACCTAAAGGATTTTCAAAAACAATTCTATGTTTCTCCAACATTTCATTTAATTGAGAATCATTGTTCATAACGGCAATTTGACGAATCTCAAATCCAAAAAATTCAAATAGATCAGTGCCAAACAAATTATGACCATTCCGGACGTATACTACTACTAATGTTGCTGTTCTTTTCGTTTCTCCACACTTTAGCACTGCACAAAATTCACCAAGTGTTTTTACTTTGTTTTTTTTTATAATCAAATAGCTCCTTTTTACATGGATACAACTGTGGTTTATTTAAGTGCTCATAAGTGTCTTGCGTCAACACTGAAACAGTTGCTCCAGAATCAATCTGAAATTTAACTTGCGTATTATCAACTAGAATGTTTATAAACACTTTTTTGTTTTCTCGTTGTGGCAGATTTTCCACATTCAAAATTGAATTAATTTGTGATATTGAGTTTTGCTCCGAATTTGTTGTTTCTTGTTGATCTATTTGATTGATATTGCTTTTAGCAGACATACACACGGAAGCAATATGACCTTTTCTGCCACATGCATAAAATTCAGGTACAGCATTAGTTTGACCATCTGACACGCGCCCAGCCAACATTTCCTTGAAAAATGCTCGCTGATCTTCCCACATTTTCTTATTAATTTCTTGTTGCTGCTTGAGCAATTCCTTAACGGCTGCTACGTCCATTGTGACATATGCTACTTACAAATTTATCCTCGTCGCCACTGTTTTGTTTCTTCCTATTTGTAGGCAAGAAGTAAAAGGTAGTGTATTCTTCTACTTAAAATTAATTATATAAACTGTTTTTAAAATAGTTATAACAGAAAGACTCTGGTGAAATCAACTTATCTAATGGAATAAAGTTTCTGTACTCTGGCAGAAGCGATACCCATCATAATGGTGTCGGTTTTCTCCACAGCAAAACTGCCTTTCGTGCCGTCTTACAATGACAGCCAATCAACGATCGGTTCATTTGGTGCCGATTTCGCTCTCATGCACGAAACGAAACTATAATTCAAACCTACGCTCCTACTGAACTCGCCGAACCCGATCAAAAACGAGGCTATTATAATCAGCTTTCGTCTATTATTCATAAAGCACATAAACGAGATATTCTAATTGTAATGGGTGACATAAACACCAAAATTGGTGGGGACATCATAAACATAGAGCACATACTGGGAAAACATGGTCTGGGGACCAGAAACGAAAACGGTGAACTCCTAATTGGAGCGAGCAATGACGCCAACCTTGTTATCGACGCCCAAACCGAAAATAAGATTGACCACTTCTATATAGGAAACATGTGGAGAAGCAGCCTCCTGGACGTACGCACCAAAAGAAGCGCCGATATCGCGTCAGATCATCATATTCTAGACGTGACACTTCGTTTAAAAATTAGCACGGTTGGACAACGACGTACTTTGAATCCACTGCCTAAACTCGATATTTCGAAACTTAATTCTAAACACGTAAAAAACACCATCGTTAGCAAACTAAGTACCTTAATTAAACAGCTCCAAGGCCCAGAAATGTCCGGCAACACTTTTTTTTTTTTTTTTATTATAAATTGTTTTATTATATATAACTAACAAGCAATTTAAATTTGAACAGATTAGGCGATTCCACGCAATAATAAATGAATTGTACTACATTTCAATGATTTAAGCCCAAAGATCGCACGGCTTTTGGCGCTTTAGACGGCGTATTGGCTCAGTTGTCGCTAGTAAATGCGCCTCAGCATTTATGTGACAACTAAGTCTATCTTGGTGTGATTTGGCTTTGGTATGAATTTCTTCCTGTACTGTTGACACTCCAAGATCACGATGTAAGTCAGAATTTCTCACGTACCATGGCGCGTTTGTTACACTCCGTAGCATGAAATTTTGGAATCTTTGGATGATGGAAATTTGTGTTCTGCTTGCGCAATCCCATAGCTGTATTCCATATGTCCAGATTGGCTGGAGCATTTGTTTGTATAATACA